TCAAAAAGATAAATAAATAAATAAATAAAAATAAAAAGATAAAAAATAAATAATAATAAAAAAAAAAGCGTGATGATAAATAGTGAAATTTTTAACGCGCTCTGCCGTAAAGTTCAAAATCATGTTTCATTCTTTATGCATATTTCTTCATCCTTTGTGCTGTAAAGTTGTAATTTATGTTCAAAATCGTATGTTTGATTTTAAATTGAGAAATGTTTGAGAGTTTTGAATTAAAAATTTTAATGTGCGTGTAGGTTTATGTGATGCGATGTTTAGTCTTGTGTGTGTTTATTTTTTTTAATTTTATTTTCCAACTCACTAAAACTGGTTTAGAACTCAAAATTTAGAAAGATGTATCACTTTGCTTGTTTTCACTTTTCAAAAAATACTTTTTAGAAAATTTTACTTTCTGATTTTTCATTTTTTTTGTTTTTACTGATTTTTTTTTAATATTTTAAGCAATTTTTTTACTTTTTAGACACACCTAACATAAATACACCAAAAAAGTAAAAAAATTGTAAAAAAAAAAAACTTTTAAAAATTCACTAAATATCAAAAATATAAAAAAAATACAAGAATTCAGTACATTTTTTTTGTATTTTTATGTATTTACTAATTTTTTAAAATATTTTTTCACAAATTTTTTACTTTTTAGATACATCTAAGTAAGATGCATCTAAAAAAGTAAAAAAATGTTTAAAATTTAAAAAATATTCACTAAAAACAAAAAAATACGAAAACTAAAAAAGTCAATTGTCAAAAAACTTGTTTGGGATGACTTAAATAAGTGTAATTTTTGTCAGAAAAGTAGAGAGGTGATGTGATGACAAAAAGATAAAAAGATGAATTATTTGGGACTTTTCAAACTTGGTCTTAATCCAAAAAATTCAAACTAAATACACTGATTGTTATTTTAAATTATGGTTCATTATTTGAGAGAGAGAGAGAGAGAGAGAGAGAGAGAACGTTTTTGTGATTCAAGCCAAATCAGCTAACAATTTTCAATTTGCTCGTGATTGTGTCAAATTAAGAAATTTAAGCATAAAAAATAAAAAAAATTTAAAAGTTGCGCATGAGACTCCCTATTACGGAAGGATTTGGGGAGAATTAAGGGTAATTTGGAAAGATGGCTAAAAATTGATTTTTTTAATTTTTTTATGTGAGAGATAATGTGATTAAAAATAGGTTAAAAAGTGACTTTTTGACTTTTAATCTATATTCCAAAATGGCTCCTAAATATAAAGTGCAAAAAGATATCTGTCATCGTTTGACATTGACTTTTTTAGCTGGCTTTTTTGAGTTAGGATTTTTTTAGCTTGGGATTAAAAAATTTATTTGGTTTGACTTTTTTGATTTTTGTGAGAAAAAATGAAATGATTATAGTTTGGATATAATATTTTGTCTTGTTAACTTATAGTCTATTTTGTCTTTATAGCCAAACGAAGGCTCTTTAGTTTCGAATTTTAAAACATAATTTTTGAAATTTTAACTTGTATTTTTTGTTTTTAGAAATTTTAGTTAATATTTTAATCATTTTTTTTAATTTTATAGAAGCACTTAAATGTACTTAAAAAAGTAAAATATATGAAAAGAAATATTTAAAAAATTAATAGATACAAAAAAATTATAGAAATTAATATTTTTTTATATTTATTAGTATTTTGTTATTTTTTATTTTTTTTTTCCACAAATTTTATACTTTTTAAATATATCTAAATTAAGTGAATCTAAAGAGTAAAAAAAATGGGAGAATTATTAGGAAATCTTTTTTGAAGTACTTGTATCTCAATTAGTCCTGAAACATATTGTTGTATTTCAATAAGTCCTATTATTTAAATATTTGATTAACTAAATCTTAATTATCATATTTAAGATATTTTCTAAACAATTTTATCGTTATAAATATTTTTTGATTGTTTACAACTTGGTGATGTTAACGTTCAAATTTTACAATGGAAATATTCACATTGACGTGTGAATATTCACATCACGGAATATTTACACTGTCAATGTGAATACTATTACTCCCTCCGTCCCAAAATAATAGTCCCTTTTGAGGAATCCAACTTTTTTTGGTAGTACAATTATTGCACTTTAAAAAAGTTGATTTTTCAAAATTACCCTTTTGATAGTACATTTTTTTGGAATATCAATGTCATAATTGTACTTTTTATATTGTTTATTAATTTAAAAGAAGGGCAAAATAGGAAATTTATATTATTTTTGTACTTGATTTTTGAAGAGGGACTAATATTTTGGGACAATAAAAAATGGAATAAGAGACTAATATTTTGGGACGGAGGGAGTATTAGAGATATTTTGATAATTATGACACCTATAGAACATATTGGAACATAAGAAAGTAATTTGGACTAAATGGTGAAAAGGAATTTATGGATTAAAAATATGATGAAAATTTTACAATCTTTAAAAAAATTTACCAAAATAAATATGAATTAAAAACTCAAAAAAAAAAAAAAAATTTAAAAACTCCATAACCAAACAATAATTATTTTTATGATTTAAACTTAAATCACAATCAAACAATCTTACGACTATCTTAGTTTAGCATATTATTTTATGTTATCTTTTGACTCCTCGTGTCTCATTAGTCATAATTAGATGGTTAATTTGAAATTTAAAATAGTAATGTTAGGATTACAAAAACTAAATACAGAATGAAACACAACACTCATAAGGGGTGAGTCTCACACATGTGGGTTTCACTCCTCGTAAAAGGATTGTGTCATATTCTGTGTTTGATTTATGTGCACATAGACTTATTCAATCTCAAAAGTTAAGTTACACCTCATTTTTTTTTAAGTGTTTCTTTTTATCTTTAAGCAACAATTAAGGTGAAGATATATTTGTTGTAATTAGTGATGTTGCTTGATCAATTCTAGTTCTTCCTATGAGCTTTCTCTAATTTCTAAGCAAATATGTGGCATGTTTAACTAAAGTTAACATAACTCGTGTCACTACATGATTCAAGAAAATTACCTTATGATCCATGAGGATCATATCATTACAATTACCTCCAAACGATACAATTTTTGGTAAACAAAACCCACTTCTAAAGATACTCAAATTTTGGTAGAAAAAAAATGATACGTTTCTAGGAATCAGGGATTTACTGTCCTCAAAATTCATGTTCACAAAGTATTTCAATGTACTTTGACCAAAAAAATAAAAATAAAAATAAGAATAAAAATAAAAAATATACAAATTATAACAGTGGTCCTAATATTTATCTTCTCTTTTGTGTTATTTTAGCCTCTACACTTTTAATTTATTCAATTTTGACATTAAATTTTAAATTTTTTACCAATTTAATTCAATTGATAACACTATTAGGGATTGAAGAAAAAATATTATTAAGTTGATTGTGGTTAACTATTGAGTTGTGCAAATTTATAATTTTATCCCTAAAAATATGATGAATGCCACTTTTGTTCCATTAAAAAATACTAACACTTTATATCATCCTAATATCATTAAAATTATAAAAAACCAATTAATAAAAATAAAACTTGATATTATATATATATATATATCTTTTAAAATTCGGTTCGGTTCGGTTCGAACCGCAGTTGTTTCATAAAATCCATTAACCGAACCGTTTTTACGGTTCTCATATTTCTTAATCCGAAACCGAACCAATTCTTAATAGAACCGAACCAAACCGTACGATTCGGTCTGGTTCGGTCCGGATTACCGGTTTGAACGGATTTTTGAACAGCCCTATAATTAGATGGTTAACTTGAAATTTAAAATAGTAATGTTAGGATTACAAAAACTAAATACAGAATGAAACACAACACTCATAAGGGGTGAGTCTCACACGTGGATTTCAGTCCTTGTAAAAAGGTTGTGTCATATTCTGTGTTTGATTTATGTGCACATAGACTTATTCAATCTCAAAAGTTAAGTTACACCTCATTTTTTTTTAAGTCTTTCTTTTCATCTTTAAGCAACAATTAAGGTGAAGATATATTTGTTGTAATTAGTGATGTTGCTTGATCAATTCTAGTTCTTCCTATGAGCTTTCTCTAATTTCTAAGCAAATATGTGGCATGTTTAACTAAAGTTAACATAACTCGTGTCACTACATGATTCAAGAAAATTACCTTATGATCCATGAGGATCATATCATTACAATTACCTCCAAACGATACAATTTTTGGTAAACAAAACCCACTTCTAAAGATACTCAAATTTTGGTAGAAAAAAAATGATACGTTTCTAGGAATCAGGGATTTACTGCCCTCAAAATTCATGTTCACAAAGTATTTCAATGCACTTTGATAAACAAAAAAAAAGATACAAATTATAACGGTAGTCCTAATATTTATCTTCTTTTATGTGCTATTTTAGTCTCTACACTTTTAATTTATTCAATTTTGACATTAAATTTTAAATTTTTTACCAATTTAATTCAATTGATAATGCTATTAGAGATTGACCAAAAAATATTATTAAGTTGATTGCGGTTAACTATTGAGTTGTGCAAATTTATAATTTTAACCCTAAAAATATGATGAATGCCACTTTTGTTCCATTAAAAAATACTAACAATTGTTATCAATCAAACCAAAGTAAGACAAAATAAAGGTCAAAATCTAACTAATTTAAATTATATAGACCATAATGACACAAGCCAAAATATAGGGAATATGAGTGTAATTTGCCCCCCAAAAACAGAAAGAAAGTACTTTAATGTAGGCAAGTGTGGCCTGGAAGTGCATGAGAGATCAAAGAGATGCCTGGAAAATTTAAGAAACAGAACTTTTTTTTTTGGTTTTAAAGAAAATATACTAGAGGCTTGAACAAGGTTACATAATTTCTAATATGAATCAATAATTCAAACTTTCTGTAACCAACTTGACAAGAGCTTATCTTAATCATGTGGGATCAACTACATGGATTTATTTTCTCAAATCATTCAAGCTTTTTAACTCCTTTTGATTAATAAGGAGACTGAACCAAAAAACAAAAAGAGATACCGTAATAGTTAAAATACCATTGCAGAACTCTGTATCAAGAAGAAGTCAAGCAGTTACAACTCCATGTGTCAACTAATAGAATATCTTTCATTATAATTTCAACCCATGAAAATGTTGCTGTAAACATGCTTCCTAAACAAGGTAGCAACAAAATGGTAAGCAACAAGCACATGTACAAGAACAATGGTTATATACTCCCCAGTTTCCACAATGGGCAACCTATACTTGACAAATAATCTATAGACAGGATCAATGGTATGACAAAGGAATAGAACTCCGGATGCAACAATAATACAAGGGTTCTCATTGGTAAGTATTAAACCACAAAGAAGATGAATACCATCAAGAAAAAGACCAAAATGGCAAATATCTTAATCATGAGCCACCTGTTTGATGATATCTGGTTTAAATGCCTTAACAAAGCACTGCGAGCACTTTCAACATTTGTCAATGACTCTTCCATGTTATCATCAATCCTGATCAAACAAATAAGCAGTTTCAATACAGGAAAACATGAATTTAAAGAAAAACAAGCAAGCAAGATAGTTATTCACTGTAAATAACAAAACTATAAGCTCCAATCAGGAGCCACATGCATTTAAGTTTCCTCCATAAAAATTTACCTTTTTTTCATACTTCAGAAGTTTAGACAGATCAAAGTTTCCAAATTAAAGATCTAATGTATAATCATCAGATTTCATGTAAAAAGAGCAAACCTGATAGCCAATTCCCCTTGTTGCGCTACCATTGTAGCCAAATGCGTGAAAATCCCACCGAGTTCTGAAATTGTGGATTCCACATTTTGAAGGGCTACTGCTCGACTTTGTGAATAACTCTCCTGCCGTGGCACCACCTGCTGCAGCATGGACATTTCCATATGGTGGGATGGAGTGTTGTCTGTAGCTAACCTTCGTCTGAATAAAGGATTAACACAAGCTGTCAGTATATTTAGGAAAACCAGCAATAGATACACTAAACCGTGTCATCAAGACCCTATTTCACCAACCAGATCCAAATGATCGTCTTCATATAAGTTACAACAATACACATACTAAAGCAACATGAAGTTTAATTGTTGAGTTAGGTGTGCAAAATATCAAGAGATTTCTGGATCACAAACACACCAAAAGGTGGTGGAAATTACATTGCTTTAACATGTGCATGGGAGCTCTTTTTGTAGAGAGGTCAAATCATGGTGGCCATCTCAGCCAAGCACAGTCACCTAGGGTAAGAGATAGGTGGCTTAACCCCTTTAGTTCAATAATCCTAATGTTTCTCAACTAACTATTGTACCATGATCAGAATTTGGGGGTCGTATCATGGATGTCAAAGGGTAGATGTGTTAAGCCTCGGGGATTGCATCAGGAGAGCTGTAGTGTCCCCTCTCTCTCTAAGACTGATCGAGGTCCAAATCCCATCAAGGGATAGAAAGAAGAGGCACCTATCCTTAACTCTAGCCACAAGTCTTTGGTGATCCCGTGGGAACCCTATGTTACATGGATTCAGGTAAGAATATCAGGTGCGGGTGCATATCTAGAGGTTAAGCCCATCAAAACTCTAATTTAAGGGTATGTAGACTTGGCAAAAGAAATGTCATATTTTTAATCTATCATGTGAGATAAAATTATGCTAAATGTAACAAAAAGTATCATAAAGGCATTTTTATTAATTTTATAACAATTATACAATAATATATACATATAATGATAGTTTTAAATACGAATATTTAAGAAGCGTCTGATGAAAAGTATCGAACATATATCCTACATCCTTGTCTAAATGTCCAGTGTCCAACACAGGCTACGTTACACGGACTCAAACGTGGGTATCGAGTGCAGGTGCGTATCTAGAGATCAAACACTTCAAAACTAAAAATTGAGTATACGTGGATATGGATCCAAATTTGAATACGAATAGGGAGATACATTAAATAATTAATTTTTAAAATATATTTATCATACAAAGACGAGTTAAAAAAAAGTTAAGAAATAATAAATTCTGTTAAAAAATAAAAAAGAAGTAAAAATTGTATTAGATATAAAATAAATTATATTATATATATATCATTTAATATGATATATTATATAAATTATTAAAGTCCTAATTTAATATCAGCCTTTGATATATAATTATATAACTTTAGTGATAGGATTTGAGACTTTTAATATGATATATTATTGAGAGAGAGAGACAGAGATAGAGAGACCGAGAACAGAGAAGAAAACAGGGAGAAGAGGGAGACGAAAACATCCAATGTGAGAGAAGAGAGAGATGAAGAGAACAATCGAGAGAGACGAAGAGACTGAAGAAGACAGATCGAGATTCAACAGTAAGACAAGAAGAGGAGATCAAGACAAAGCAAAATCGAGTGAGAGAGAAAGAAAGGGAGATTGAAGAACATGAAGATCACACCTGATATGAAGAACGAAGCTCTAATCTCCATTTTCGTAGCCCTAATCACAGGTATGCCATCTTTATTCTTCGTTTGCCGTATCCACTCTCTCTATGCGGTATCCCTTCTGTATCCCCCCGTACCCGTACCCATAGCCATGTCGTGTCGTGTTGACACGGGTACTTCGCCAAATCTAACGAGTCCATGTAACATAGGACATAGGTATTTGTTTTATTTTAAAAAGCCAATGTAACATAGCCTCGTCCACACAGCTAGCCTAGGCAATTGTCATCCTTCAAAAAGCCGAGTATGGAGTCAGGGTGCTACTCAAGCAGGCCATTAGGGTGTTCCAAGTAAACCGAACGAGGGTCACGAGAAGAAGCGCTTGGCTAAAGGGTGAGCACACAATTTTGGAGTTAGGGAGACGCTTGGACAAGTAGCGAAGCTAACCAAAGGATCCTCAAGCATGTTGACCACTAGGAAGAGACATTGTGCTCCAACCTCAATTGAGCCGATCAAGCCATTTGTGGAATGTCTTAAGCCTAGGGGACACTAGCCTTGATTAATGTGCCTCAACCACAGAGGGATATGGAGTGCCTTTGTGGGCCTGCGAGCCACTTCACAAGACTGATACATGAGCCATGTTTGAATGAGATACCAATGTGGAGACGTCATGGCAATGCCATGTGGTGGTGTGGAACTCATATACCTACATCTCCTATCAAGGGACTTGTCCTTTGGCCACTCTTTGGGAAAGGGAGATTGATGCACCACTTGTCTCATCAGTACATGGTTCCTCATTCTCTAAGGACATGCATCATCCTCTAGATGTTTTCCTTACTTTAGGAGCACAACACGACCTCTATCAAGCATGTCTTCACTATGGGGTGAGGTTTCTACTAACAGACTATCAAACTCGAAGAAACCACCATATAGCAATGCCTCAGCACATGGTACTTTCATGTAAATAGAAATTCCTCCTCTTTGGTAAACCTAATAAAACACCTCCCCAGGGAGCTTTTGGTAGCATTTGAGATATTTACCTCGTTAATAAGCTTTCTTCACCTGTCTATGTCGCTCCATTACGGCCACTCTCGTTTTCTAAAGCTTTATCCACTCTCATTGTCCTCATTACCACAGATCTCACCCCCCAAGTCTCATCTCCTTGGACCGCATGTGCTTTATCACCACCCTAAAACCCAATAACTCATCCACACTACATGTTTCTGCAGTAGATGGAGCCTAGAGGGTGATTTAGAGCTTCTAGAGGTTTAGGACATGGTCCTCAGTCAGTAGTCAAAAGCTTCAATTCTATATTTCTAAGGAAATGAAATGATTAGATTGCTTCTAACAACTGCACATGCAAACCATATATCAGATTCCAAGTGATTTAAAATAGTAAACAGATGTTGCCTACAAGAAACACACAGAAACAAATACTTCAACATATTGACATTTGCAAAGACTGAAAGATCTTGTTAAAATGTACCAAAACCTACCACTACACCTACTCCACCCACTTCACCTACTACTCCACCTACTACATACCTACCTCCTTTAATCTTCTATATATAGGACTCATTGTAAACACAATAAATATAAATCAATAATACAATTCTCTATTTCTCTATACATCAATTTTTTCATGGTATCAGAGCAGGTTTAGAACCTAGTATTTTCGCTTCACCGGCGGACGGCAACCTCACCTTAGCCGTCCGCCGGACCTCAATCTATTCCGCTTATTTTCTACACATACCTTTCCATCATTGTCCAAATCTTCTCTCTCTCAGAGGCAACCCAGCAACACCCACTCGAGCTTGCTCTCGGAATGACTGAACCAACTTCTGAACGCCGCATCTGGAAGCTTAGCAAAACAACTTCAAAACTCCTACCATCTGCCTCATCTGGAGATGTTCCTCTCCTCTCTTCTATAACTAGGCCTAACCCAATTCAAGTTCAAATCCAAGAGGTTTCCCCACAGTTTGAAGAGAATAAGAGGGATGAGAAAGAATGGATTAGCAGGAAGTTAGATGTCATCGAGAGTTCCCTTGCAGATTCAAGTTACAGTCCAATTCCATTGAAGCTTAGCAGTCCTGTGAGTTCAATGTTTGATCACAACACCCCAAATGATCAAACCCATATCAGCAACAGACTTTTTGGATCTGCAACTCCATCTCCAAGAGCTTTCTCACCCATCAAAACTTCTTCTTCAATGTGTAGCCACATGCGAAGGACTATCTACAATGGTGGATGCAACCCACAGAAGATTGCCCCGGCGGTTCAAATCAGGTCGGTGATCCCAGTATGTGCAGCGCCACCACTACCAGTGAGACCAACGCCACACCAACCCTACTCACTGATTTCCCTGTGTTGGTTTAAGGCCAGCGTGATGGTATCTCCATACCGGCCCTCCGGTGCTGTGCTACGGCACTCACGAATCACGATTTCCACACCCGCCCTGTTTTCCAGTTTGGTTACCACAGTGAGTGGTAGAGGCCAAATCGGCGAAGACATCGCCAAAGAGACCGCGAAGGATTGGAAGGGCCTCCGCGTCACCGTGAAGCTCACCGTCCAGAACCGTCAGGCCAAAGTCTCCGTCGTCCCCTCCGCCGCCGCGCTCGTCATCAAGGCCCTGAAAGAGCCCGAGCGCGATCGCAAGAAGACGGTGATACCTCTAGGAAGAAGCTTCATCTCTCCAAAGACCAGTCGATGATTCTCGAAGAAAGCTTTAAAGTTCACAACAGTCTCAATCCGAAGCAAAAGCAAAAGCTTTAAAGTTCTCTCATCACGTTATTTCACACTTTACTTTTATTTTAATATATATATATTTATTAACTTGCGAAAATGAACCTCAGTCATGGGTCTTGGCCCTCTTGGGTAGTTGATCTACTACTCTCTAATCTCTATGGTGAAATTTTGCAATAGTAGATAGTAAAGCTCTTTTTTTTATATATATATATTTTTTTATGACATATGTATTTTCATAAATTTTCATTTTAATTTTTTTTTAATAATTAATAAGTGAAAAATAAGAAATTAGAAGCTACATAACTCAAAAACAGACATGCCTCTGATTGGGAAGAGGTTTTTTGAATTTTTTTTTTGCTAAAATAATCACAAAAAATAAAATAAGCTATTTTAGTCACAATAAACAAAACATTACATTTAATTCATAATCATTACACTTTTCTTTCATAAAAAAAGTCAAAAAAATTAAAAAGTTAAAAAATCCTTTCCAAATCAAATTTTTTAACCCAAATTAAAATAGTTAAAAAAATTAAATAGTCAAAAAAATCCATCCACTTTGCAAACGAAACCATGCATCATCTGCTAGCCCATCAACCTTACAGAGATATAATTACTGGAGAGAGAGAGAGAGAGAGCCATTAATGGAGATATGAAGAGTTGGTTGGTGTGTTTTGCAGAGAGTGGAAATGAAGGAAGGAGGGGAGGGGCAAGGCAAGGGAAGCAGACAATTGCAGCGATAAACGCAACGCCATTAAAGTCATTGTCAGAAACAATTAATTGGTCCTGCCTTCACCATAAATGATCCCCCACCCCACCCCCGAATCCGGATCCTCCGTCGCCTTTTCCTGCGGCTCGACCCTGTCACCCTCCAAAACGACGTCGTTTTGGAGGGTGTGGAGCAGAGCCAGTTGGGCGTTTAACTGCTGCACCTCATTTGTCCTACTCTGCAGCCGGTGCGACAAGTTTGTGACCGCAGTCATGGTTTCCACACATGACTTCAAAGTATACTGATTGGCCTCAATATCAGTTTGCACCGCCATTTTTTGCTCCACCGACCGCATCGGAAAGTTCAACGGAGCAAAACCAGAGGTGTTTTGTTGAGGTTCACGGGCCACCGCACCAGTTATCTCTCTTGTTGACTCGTTGAGGTCGGGAAAGAGAGTGAGTAGACCACGGGATGAAGAGGCCATGTTCTGGGTAGCTGGACGGGAAGAAGAGGCCATGTTGCTAAGTGTTTCAGAGACGAGTTGGTTACAGAGTATTACAGAGTTTCTCTTTCAGTAAAGGAAGAGTTTTTTTCAGAGGATTTTCAGAAGTTTTTTGTCTGCCTCAGCCTCAGCCTCAGCCTCAGCATCAACCTTGGTTAAATAGCGAGGCAGCCACGCGTATCGCGCGACACTTGACGCCAAACGACAAACGGGCACGCCAGCCAAGGCACTCACGTGCCTCGCCATCATGTCCGGCACATCTTTTTATGACTTGGGCTCGCCTTTTGATGACACGCCTTTTTATGTATTGGGCACGCCTTTTGATGGCACGCCTTTTGAAAGATTGGGCACACCTTTTGAGGGTGCGACTTTTACAACGGTCCGACATGACCCCATAAACTGTCTTCTACATCGGTCCAACACGAGCCAGTGTCTTCTACATCGGTCTGCCATAACCATACAGTCTTCTACAACGGTCTGACACGACCATACAGTGTCTCATATCCTCTTTTATTTTATGTATTCGTCTATTTTCTTGTTTTGTTACTCTCTCCAAACTCAAGTTGGTTAGTTCCTAACCCCCTTGAGTTTGCGGGGGGCTGTTAAAATGTACCAAAACCTACCACTACACCTACTCCACCTACTACTCCACCTACTACATACCTACCTCCTTTAATCTTCTATATATAGGACTCATTGTAAACACAATAAATATAAATCAATAATACAATTCTCTATTTCTCTATACATCAATTTTTTCAGATCTTAAAAGATTTCACTAGCAACATGGTCAAGCTAGAGTGCTAGATAGAAGAGTATGAACATCAAACTCAATTTTAGCATTTAGAATAATGATGTGAGAACACACCTCAATTGGCTGCCTACTTGAACCCCATCTGGTGGTGACCTGGTGAAAAGAAAAAGAAAAAGAAAAAGAAAAAAAAGGGAGGGAGGGAGGAACATCAAGTTAAGAATCCCATTTAGCTTCACAAAACAAACACATACAATAAGTTTGGTGCTAGGCTACTAACACTAGAACTATGAAGGCAATCATCCAAAATACTACAAAAAGTGAAATTTGCAAACAATATATTTGGTTCACATAACTGTACAGATGAGATGAATACTTTACAATATATTTGGTTATAATACTTTACTTTAGATGAATAATTTATCTAAGATTGTATTGTTTCTTTATGTTCCATTCTAAAACATTTCATTTACATGAGAAAATATTGAACATAAAAAAAACTTACACTGACTGTTGCAAACTGCCAGATGAATTTGACCAAGGAGGTGGTTCAGTCACAGTTTTCGGAGGATTGCTCAAAGGATTCTCTCTTGCTACATTTGTAGAAAATATCAGTTTCCTATTCTCGTGAGCCTTGATATTCTGCAAAAAGAAAGGAAAAAAAAAAGATGAAGATGACAATGGTGATGATAATAAGAATATATAAGTAAAGCTAAGGAACCAATGACTGTTAGCTTAGCTGCATCTCTTTCTATCCCTATGAGGAGGTGTAGGGTTCAAGTCCCAATAGGACAGAGGAACATGACAGCACACACACTGACTTGCACATCTTACTTGTTTAAGCCAAAAAAGGAAAGGGAAAAAAAAGGGGGGGGAAAAAAGAAGTAGAATTATGTTAGTACCATTCCATTTAGCACTGACCTCTGTTCTAGTGGTCAGTACATCCTGAAACTGTTTGGTAGCCCCCATAAGTTTGTTCTTCAAATCATCACAAACAGTTGTAGAATGAACAGCTCTATCTTCTGAATAATTTCCATCAGCTAACTCCAGGTTTTGCAGGGTTTGCAAATCGGAGACTGCCACATTAAGTGCTGTTATGTCATCTTTTATCAAGGCAGTTAATTCTTGAATTTCCTTAATTGGATCATCGAAAAGTGATGACCTTTTGGCCACTGCATGTGAATGAAAATATAAATTACAAAACCTGAGGTTAGCAGAACATCAACCAGCAGAATTAACATGAACAGTGCAAAAAAACACAAGAATGGCTTCACAATTTAGTCTTTGGAGATGTTCAGCACAAGAGAGAGATGCAAAAGAAGATCATCATGAAGCTTCACTAAATCCATCTACGCTAAACAGATAAATCTGAAATTCAAACTTTTCTTCATGAAACATTCAATGTATAGAATACTAAGATGGAATGTGATGCCAAAAACATAGGAGACAATTGATACCAGCTTCAATCTACATTCTATTATGAGATCGAGGAAAGTGAATAAACGGATTGTCAATTTTCCAGGGAAGCATAGTACTTGTATTTTAATTTTTTTAAATGAACAGTATATAAAGTATCCCCCAATAAACATACACACACATAAACAACAGTCGGTATACCCTGTACATTAGAATAGGGTTTTGGAAAATAGAGAACAAGAAGGAAATTTTTTATCAAGCATTGGATTCACCCTTTACCAGAATTCCACACCGTGGAAGAAAGCTCACATTGCAGATATTGTAGTTTTAAAGCCTCTCAAATTGGACAATGGGAAAAAAACAAAATAAAACCTATGAAGCACAGACAGGTGATTTTTAAAAAATAAAGACACAAACACAGTGAGGACACGGCAAAACAATTACATTTTTATTTACAATGTACATAAATATTACATCCAAAAACAATCAAAATTAATGAAAACTAACATTATTTTAACATTTTAAAAAAAAAAAAAAACCCACTAAATTTAAATCATCCAGGCTAGATCTCTGTTGCATTAGAACTTGGAGATCATTAGAAGTTAGTCTCTCAACTTCACAACTGTGGTTGGATCTGGATTGCATTGTTGATGGTTTCATACGAGTTTTATTTATTTTTTAAAATTCAACCGTCATATTTCAAATGTTATAATATGACCCCCCAAAATTAGCTTTAGAAATTAAAATAAGACCATGTTGTTTCCCCACCATGTCCCCACCGTGTCTAGTAGAACAAAATATCAAAAAATAGACACACCGTGTGGCATGTCAAACACGTGTCTCCGTGTGTCCCAGTCGTGTCCCAAAAAGTGTCTGACAAAGTTATGCCATCTATTTTACCTTATTATTCTCACCACCTACTTCATCATCCACCTAACCAAACCCTAAATACCAAACTATATCTTCACACCAAAGCCCTCTTCCCTCTACCACCACCGCTCCCCTCACCCCAACCATCACCATGACCAACACCAGCGCCAATCAAACCCAAATCAAACAATATATCCTCTTTTATATGTATATATAATATTAATTTGTTGTTGTGTCCAGATTTATTTATTTTTCATAAATTGTCTTGTCGATATGTCCATGGCATGTTGTCTGATGTTCATTTTTGTGCTTATTAACCTCCAATAGCTACACTTGTGCATGAGAAAATTGCCTCCTAAGCCACCTATGGCTTTTAAGGTGTCAAAAAATTGAAGCACACCTCTATGTAGAGCTATAATTTAAAAGACCCAGAGGAAGCAACAATTGCCAATTTGTATCTAATTATCATATGGGCCACAGTGGAAAAGAATGTGGGTAAAAGGCTGTAAGAGGGGCTAATTTGAGCCCACTAAATTATTTAGGCCCAATAGCCCAAGATTAGTGGGCCCGAATTTATCGCAAGTCCAAGAATCGGTGGGCCCAGATTTATCGCCATCAAACGGATTGAATCGCTCTAAGCCTCGAAAGGGTTCGGATCCACGAACCTAGAGACTTACTCAGGCCCGGAACTCGAAAGGGTATTAGGCAAGCCTAGAGATCCGAGGCACTCGGACTCGAAAGGATTCGGACCCACGAATCTAGAGATCCGAAGTACTTGGCTTCGAACGGATTCAGACGCAATCTAGAAGTCGCTCCGTTAATGAGTCCCAGAACACTTGCGGGCTCGGAGCTTTCCGGGGTCTACGTACCAGAACCATGGGCGTAATGGAGTCCGAACAAAGGACCCGATCCCAAGGACGGGGAGTGGAGATAAATTCACTCTTCGGTTAAACTAGCCTATACCCGGGTCGAGATGTGGCACGACCCCGGGGGGTCCATGAGACTCGGCAATATTTTGCGGCAGGACGTCTTCTGGGACTACCCTGACCCTTTGGGATGATTGGGGATCATTGGTTAGGTGTGGCTAAGAAGAAGGTTCGCCGAGGGAGTGATCTCCTCTTCGGGGTTTTCTCATCCTCGGAGAAGTCACCTCCTCGGAGAGGTCACTTCCTCGGACAAGGTGGTTAGAAAGAATATCCCCATGTGCCTTGCACATGGGCTCCATCCTACATCATGAGGGTGCCTATAAATAGCACCCACCCATAGCTTTACAAGGGATGAATTTTGGAGATTTTTTTCAACTCTTGGGAAAGAACTAATTTCCTTTCTTCATTATCAACCTTGAGAGTGAAAGTGGGAGATCCATGGGAGAGCCTTGCCATATTCTATTTCTCTAGCCATTTTGCCTTCTTCTTCACCCA